TCTTCAACCATTTTATACTCCTGCCCGTTAAATCTCAACCCGCACCCACATCCCCCCGCGGGACCTACAATTTCTTGCCCGCAGTAAAATTTCTAAAAACAAACTGATACCTAAAATAGAATAGTATGAACACGCCTATGCATTAAGGTTTTAATGAGATATCATTAAATCGCCGCCTACGTTAGTATGATTGTCAGGAGGCAATACACAACCTTCGTAAAGCCAACTGACACACACTTATGTATATAGCAAAAATATGATTTATGCTCTGGCCATTTCCATAAAAGTTTAAAATTCAAAGATATACATCTAATCAAAAGCGTTACATACCTAGACCATGACTCAGACCTAGACTTAGACCTAGACCTAGACCTAGACCTAGAACTAGACCTAGACCTAGACCTAGACCTAGACCTAGACCTAGACCTAGACCTAGACCTAGACCTAGACCTAGATCTAGACCTAGAGACCTAGACCTAGACCTAGACCTAGACCTAGACCTAGACCTAGACCTAGACCTAGACCTAGACCTAGACCTAGACCTAGACCTAGACCTAGACCTAGACCTAGACCTAGACCTAGACCTAGACCTAGACCTAGACCTAGACCTAGACCTAGACCTAGACCTAGACCTAGACCTAGACCTAGACCTAGACCTAGACCTAGACCTAGACCTAGACCTAGACCTAGACCTAGACCTAGACCTAGACCTAGACCTAGACCTAGACCTAGACCTAGACCTAGACCTAGACCTAGACCTAGACCTAGACCTAGACCTAGACCTAGACCTAGACCTAGACCTAGACCTAGACCTAGACCTAGACCTAGAACTAGACCTAGACCTAGACCTAGACCTAGACATAGACCTAGACCTAGACCTAGACCTAGACCTAGACCTAGACCTAGACCTAGACCTAGACCTAGACCTAGACCTAGAACTAGACCTAGACCTAGACCTAGACCTAGACATAGACCTAGACCTAGACCTAGACCTAGACCTAGACCTAGACCTAGACCTAGACCTAGACCTAGACCTAGACCTAGACCTAGACCTAGACCTAGACCTAGACCTAGACCTAGACCTAGACCTAGACCTAGACCTAGACCTAGACATAGACCTAGACCTAGACCTAGACCTAGACCTAGACCTAGACCTAGACCTAGACCTAGACCTAGACCTAGACCTAGACCTAGACCTAGAGACCTAGAGACCTAGAGACCTAGAGACCTAGAGACCTAGACCTAGACCTAGACCTAGACCTAGACCTAGACCTAGACCTAGACCTAGACCTAGACCTAGACCTAGACCTAGACCTAGACATAGACCTAGACCTAGACCTAGACCTAGACCTAGACCTAGACCTAGACCTAGACCTAGACCTAGACCTAGACCTAGACCTAGACCTAGACCTAGACCTAGACCTAGACCTAGACCTAGACCTAGACCTAGACCTAGACCTAGACCTAGACCTAGACCTAGACCTAGACCTAGACCTAGGCATAGACCTAGACCTAGACCTAGACCTAGACCTAGACCTAGACCTAGACCTTGACCTAGACCTAGACCTAGACCTAGACCTAGACCTAGACCTAGACCTAGACCTAGACCTAGACCTAGACCTAGACCTAGACCTAGACCTAGACCTAGACCTAGACCTAGACCTAGACCTAGACCTAGACCTAGACCTAGACCTAGACCTAGACCTAGACCTAGACCTAGACCTAGACCTAGACCTAGACCTAGACCTAGACCTAGACCTAGACCTAGACCTAGACCTAGACCTAGACCTAGACCTAGACCTAGACCTAGACCTAGACCTAGACTTAGACCTAGACCTAGACCTAGACCTAGACCTAGACCTAGACCTAGACCTAGACCTAGACCTAGACCTAGACCTAGACCTAGACCTAGACCTAGACCTAGACCTAGACCTAGACCTAGACCTAGACCTAGGCATAGACCTAGACCTAGACCTAGACCTAGACCTAGACCTAGACCTAGACCTAGACCTAGACCTAGACCTTGACCTAGACCTAGACCTAGACCTAGACCTAGACCTAGACCTAGACCTAGACCTAGACTTAGACCTAGACCTAGACCTAGACCTAGACCTAGACCTAGACCTAGACCTAGACCTAGACCTAGACCTAGACCTAGACCTAGACCTAGACCTAGACCTAGACCTAGACCTAGACCTAGACCTAGACCTAGACCTAGACCTAGACCTAGACCTAGACCTAGACCTAGACCTAGACCTAGACCTAGACCTAGACCTAGACCTAGACCTAGACCTAGACCTAGACCTAGACCTAGACCTAGACCTAGACCTAGACCTAGACCTAGACCTAGACCTAGACCTAGACCTAGACCTAGACCTAGACCTAGACCTAGACCTAGACCTAGACCTAGACCTAGACCTAGACCTAGACTTAGACCTTTAGTTTTATATTTAATAATATTAAACCAATAGTGTGGAGTTTTTTAACATCCAATTTTTTGGACGTCTTATCTCCTTTGCAGGTACATCCTCCAACGTCCCAACACTAGGCTAACAATGAGCGCCTTGGCTATAAATGGCGCCCTTGAGCGCCAAATAAAAAAAAAATCAGTTTTTTCACAATTTTTTCTTTTAAGTACATTGCTATTTCTTTTTAACTTTACGTAACGCACTTCATTTACATGTCATCTAGACAACCCCCACAAAAATGTGACTAAATTAAAACAAAAATTGTCAGGACGAATAAAGTGCATGCACACAGATGGCGCGGAACATATTGTTTGCTCAACCTTCAGACGTCCTTTTGTTTCAACCAGCTTGTCGATATAAAATTTAAAAAAAAAATGTTTCTTTTTTTAACCACCGTTTCATAAAAATTTATCAACGAACGTACAGTGCGCGTTAATTTTTTGTTTAATTTTTTTTTTATGTTAGAGCTCGAGAAATTACATAACGAATTTAGAAAGAAATATTTTACTCTTTGAGAGAGTATCGAGTTCTGCAATACCTTTACATTTTTTTTCTCACGGGAGGTAGGAGTATTGCAACATCCTTTCAATTATTCTCACGTGAGTATCGAAACTTCAAAGATCCTTTCAATTATTCTCTCGTGAGTATCGAGTTTTCAAACATTGTTTCATTAATTACCGGAGTGTCGAGTATTGTAACATCTTTATATTTATTTTCTAGGAGTGACGAGTATTAAAGCATCTTTTCATTTATTCTCACGTGAGTATCGAGTCTTCAAACATCATTTCTTTTATCCTAACGGGAATGTCGAGTATTGCTACATCTGTAAACTCTCATTTAACAAACAGGTGTTTCAAAACTTTATCGCTTTTAACGCTTTTTTAAGGGAAACGATTTGATATTTCTTCTGTTACGATGAAACAGCTCTATCGTTGAGTAACTCTGCCCATATTTAAAAAAAAGGGACAGTCATCATCTTCACTGCCACAAACATATCACCGAATCTTAAACAGATAATAAAGTTTGATTGGATTGATAAACAATAAAACACGCAGCTAAACCCATGTCTGTACGACTCCTCTGGCAGGTGTCAGATCCGTCCTGCAGACCTTGAGTAAATTATGAAGCCACCCATATCCAATGGCTCTGGACATTGAATTAAGTTTAAGTAATACTAGCAGCAAGACCGTGCTACTGAAGGTCCAAGAGGGCACTCCAACTCAGAGAAATCATTTTTAGGACCTGTTTTACAAAATTTGGCTAAGGACTAACTGTCTTGTATCCAAAAGAAGTGGACAATTTGTTTTTAAATGTTACGAATCACCACACTTTTTTTCAAACAAGCGGTCTTTAGCCACCAGAAAAAAATTGAAACAGTCACTTGCATAGTAAGAGACAACTGTGCTGTTTGTAAGTACTGTTAGACTAGTGGTATACATGTTTGTAACTAATAATAAGAAATAAGAACGACTCTAAACAAGTTTTAATTTTTATTACGATTGGTTGCTAGTTGAAAGAAAAGTAACTAAGAAATATAAATGAAAAAATGCAAAATCATACACTTAAATAGAAACGTATTGTTATAATATAACTAAATAGTTTATTGTACTTGGTTGTGGTTGGAAAATGTTTTTAATCTAGATTAAAATGTTCAATCAATCGTAAACACAATGGAATATAATTTTTAAAAAATAAATGGTCACATGTTACCTGAAAAGAGATTTTATCGACTTTGTCATAGCTTGAAGCAGAGATGCTAGGAATAATATTAAGTCAGAGAGCTGAAACCTGTTGGCCAGTTGTAATATTTTATTAGAAGAGAGTTGAAAGGCCAAGGCGAGTTGGTCGGTCAAGTGATTGGAACAAGCTGAAGGGGTGTAGTTTGTCGTGCCAGTATTGTTCTTAGAAGTTTTGTTTTGGATAGTTAGCATATCGTTCTTGTTGGTGTAGGCAGTCTAGTTAATGTAGAGATATTACTTTGAAGCTGAAATGGTATGATTATTACCTGTTGCATATCATCTATGATTTGTATGTGAAAAAATTACAATTTGGTTTTGAAATATTATTTATAAAGACTTAAATTTTAGTGACAAAATTTCAATATAAAGAGATTTTTAATTAAAGATTAAGCTATTCCATACTTCAATGTCCAGTAAAAAATGTTTGTATCGTCAACGAAGCAAAATTTCTTTTTATAATAATCTTGTATCTTAGCACATAAATATAATGTGCGTACCACGTTTTTAAAAAGGTGCTAATTTTTTTAATAATCGTAGGATTTTTTTTTTAAATTAACAAGATTAAAAAAAAAAATATGTACACACACAATCTTAACTTTTATTGCTTGGTCTCCATAATAAAATTGTTGTTTTAATAATCGTAAAGTTTAACCGTTGTGGAAAAAATTAACATGAGTAAAACAAAATGTCTTAACACACACGATCTTATCTTTTAATGCATGTCTCTCTATTTAAACTTTTAACGTGTTGGTCAGTTTTGTTCGAAAGAATAACATTAGAGTTATAAAAAAGCTAAATCTAAACTGTGTAATAGAATGTAGGCCGAACATTCATGATAACCGTTATAATAACTTTACTTCCGTCAATTTTTCAAACTGATGTTATTTTATATACATGGCCATCAGATGTTGACTTTAATCAGACCTTTATCCTTTAGACCTTTATGGGTGGTACTGTGCTTTACGTTTTTTGCCACTGTGGACAGTAGGAGAAATGTAATCATCCGTAAAATTATAAGAAAAAGAAAGATTATTACAAAGGTAAGAAATGTAAATACAAAACATTTTTTTATATTACTAAACATATTTTAAAAATATTACTTCAACTATATAGCTACATCTATCTTAAACGCAATGTTAAAACATTAAATGTAGCGGGACTGATCTCCTTACAGTTTTTTGTTTTTGATATGGTACAGCAATGTGGAAAGTACGTACAGTGCCATTGAGCTATAGACATGTTTTTGGCAATTTTTAATTCTTAATTTTTGAAAAATCTAAAAGAACTGCGGAAAAAGATAATATTGCGTACCAAATGATCGCAAACTGTGTGGATACAATAGGAAGGAAACGAGTAATTTTTAAAAATTTAACCGATCACCTAGTTAAGTAACGTTTTATGTTGAAAGGCTTTTTCTTAGAGGCATGAATTGGAAAATTTTGAGATAAAAGTGGTAGAAATTTTGCTCGCAAATTTCCGCCCACTATAGACAAAGGAAACTAGTTAAATGGGGTCTTATGAGTTTTTGGTTTTTAGAAATTAGAAATAGCGTAAAGTACTACTCTCGGTAACATGAACTCAATGTAATTTCGAAAAAAAACCAACAGAGAATACATTATTTTACTTATATATGGCTTTCGTCTACATAACAGAAACAGTACTGAAGTTATATGCTTTTGAAAAACCAAAAGTAGAATAAGTGTCAATTCCGATTACCGGAAATATCTGAAAATTTGAATAAAATATTAAATTTTTGAAAATCTTGATTTTGAATTTGTGAACGATTATACTACATTCCCTGTACTCCGTTTACTAGACAGTAACAACAGGAAGAAGTATACGAATTGATCACGAGTACATAAGGAAACCAGACGATTAATATTTACGCAATACGGTAATCAACATTTAAACAGAAATTTCAGTGGACTAGACTTTTACTATAGGTTTTTGTTTGGACGGTACTTTGCGAAATAACAATGAGTTGGCACTTCATTTTCACAGTAGCTATACGGGATTTAATAGGATATTTCCTGCACTGTTATAACTGTGTCCATTGTTGATGCTAGTTGGTTATCCAACCCCCTCCCCACCCTCACGTCCCACACCTGAACTGGGACATCGTAACCTTATATGAATGCATCCCCGTCCCACCTAGCTATGTGCAGGCTAGGGCGCCCCCCTCCCCCTCCCTGGATTTCCGGGGTCAGACAGGGGTTAAGCTGGGGCCGGGAGAACGAATTAGGATAGTTGAACGTTAGCCTTAGAGAAGCATGTAGTCGTGTTTTGTTTTGTAAAGTGTGTTAGTTGAACGTTAGCCTTAGAAGCATGTAGTCGTGTTTTGTTTTGTAAAGTGTGTTAGTTGAACGTTAGCCTTAGAAGCATGTAGTCGTGTTTTGTTTTGTAAAGTGTGTTAGTTGAACGTTAGCCTTAGAAGCATGTAGTCGTGTTTTGTTTTGTAAGGTGTGTTAGTTGAACGTTAGCCTTAGAAGCATGTAGTCGTGTTTTGTTTTGTAAAGTGTGTTAGTTGAACGTTAGCCTTAGAAGCATGTAGTCGTGTTTTGTTTTGTAAAGTGTGTTAGTTGAACGTTAGCCTTAGAAGCATGTAGTCGTGTTTTGTTTTGTAAAGTGTGTTAGTTGAACGTTAGCCTTAGAAGCATGTAGTCGTGTTTTGTTTTGTAAAGTGTGTTAGTTGAACGTTAGCCTTAGAAGCATGTAGTCGTGTTTTGTTTTGTAAAGTGTGTTAGTTGAACGTTAGCCTTAGAAGCATGTAGTCGTGTTTTGTTTTGTAAGGTGTAGTAGGGCTGGCCCCTAAGGCTGGCCACTATTGAGGTTCAAGATTACTTTTTTATCCAAGACTAAAGAAGCAACCATTAAAATTAAGGAGCTGAAAGTGCGTTTGTGTTGTTCTTGAACCTCTCACTGCATAACATGCACAAATGGTAAAGATTTAAGTGGGTCATAGATTATTAACATATCAAAAATGGTTTAAAATGAGATCCATCTAGCGAGAAGGTAAGTGATTTAAAATTGATGAATTAACTAACCGTAAACATTTAGGTATTTGAATTCATCAGGTAATAGATTAAATTATACACACCACTTTGCTAACTTGCGTGTTGTAGCCGGTGTAGATTCTGGTGTTGGTGCTGTTGTTGGTGCTGGTGTAGATGTTGGTGTTGGTGCTGTTGTTGGTGCTGTTGTTGATGCTAGTGTTGTAGCTGGTGTTGGTGCTGTTGTTGGTGCTGGTGTAGATGCTGGTGTTGGTGCTGTTGTTGGTGCTGTTGTTGATGCTAGTGTTGTAGCTGGTGTTGGTGCTGTAGTTGGTGCTGTTGGTGGTGCTGTTGTTGGTGCTGTTGTTGGTGCTGTTGTTGGTGCTGTTGTTGGTGCTGATGTTGGTGCTGTTGTTGGTGTAGCACACATTGTCGTTTTAGAATCTGAGAATAAAATATAATCGAGAGATTTAAATTTATCTGTAATTTTTTTTTTCTATTTATTTAATGTATTGAGCAACCAGAAAGTACCTACTGGGTTCGATGCATAGGTAGTAATTACTGGAAATACAGTCCGATGTTGTTATGTACGGATGCTCTGGTCTGATGTAAACACACGTATAGCCCATCGGGTCTCCCAGCCACCACCAGTCATTGGTTATTTCAGTCGCTGGTTGGTTGGTCTCATCCCAGACATAGGTTCCCCTGACGGCTTTACTGTTGGCACCGATCCAAACGAACTTGTCTTCTGTAGTAGTTACGTGAAAAAGAGTTGTAAAAATTGTTAGACTAGGCCTACGAAGTATATTTCTTGTTACTGTATTTTCATATATTTTTACAAATGTAACATGAAAAAATTGTGTTGCCTAAATTTTCGCTGTTAAATTTAATCCTTGAGATCTCGTGTCTTTGATATGGTTGCACATATTTTGGGTTGGATAGTTTGGTTGAGATATTTTCTAAGGTAATTTTTTTGCGATAATGCAGACTGAGATTATTAGTCTAATATACGTATAAATGCACATGCACAAATAGGCTTACATACATATGCTCACTCTTAAACACGTACATCTATACATATAAAATACTAATATACATACACATACACTAACACATACGTGAAACCATAAAAATACATAAAAGCGCATACAAAAACCAGCACAAAAACATAGCCTATACATAGGTGTACGCATTTACACGTATACCCAAAGATATACCTGTAAAAATACTTATAAATCAAAATATACTTTTCCTCGCTCAACTGCTTGTATTTCCAGCATATCATTTGTTGTGGCTCTAATATTTTGATGTGCAAATTTATATAAAAATAAACATACATACATGTAATCGTAAACTGTTGCTATACTTAAACTGCTAGTGAGCAGTAACCATTGGCTAGCTGTTCTTCAAGAGAACTTTACTAGTCTAATAAACTTCAGACTTACTGCTCATATTGAACGCAGCTACTACGTCGTTTAATACTTGGAGTGAGGCCAAAGTTGCAAGGTTTCCTCCTAGGGCCTCACACGCTGACTGTAAGACAAAGAAGTTTCCGGAATGAAAAATGTTTTGAGCAAGTTAGACTACGAATATATTAAATGCACTAGATCTGGGAATGTCATTAGCGTAATACTACGTGGCAGCGAATGCTTGAAATTAGCAACCGCCACAAGCAGATCACTGGACTCCAAGCTAAGTGTTTGCGAAGACAACTAGCATGCACTGGCGTAACATCATCTCAAATAATAGACTACTAGGAGAGATGGAAATGGAAGCAGTTTTCAAAATAATTTTAAATAAACCGGGATTGATCTCCCCTAATCTTTCTCGAATATTCTCATATAACTTGGAATATAGACTAGACATGACTTTTAATTACTTAAAAATAGAATAGAATCTCATAGAAAAAAGAATTGCTCACCAAGCGAACGCCAAAACAAAAAATGTGCATAATAGTGCGCAATATTATTAGTACTTTATAAATTTACATGCGTTTTTTGAGAAATCGGAAATAGCGTAAATTAGTACTTCCGGTCAAGGGAAATTACTAAACATTTAACAGAAGGTAGAGAATTAGATTTTTTACTTACATGTGAAATTTCATTTATCTATCTGAAACAGTACTCAAGTTATAGGCTTTTGAGAAATTCAAAGTAGAAAAAGTACCACTTCCGTTTATTGGAAATCGTTCAAAAGTTGATCAGGATCTACGATTTTGATAAAATACTTATATATGAAATTTCATCAGCCTAGCTGTAACGGTACTCAAGTTATCGTGTTTACACACAGACACACACACACACACAGACACACAGACATACGGACAAGATTGCAAAATTATGTTTTTCCGTATCAGTGAGGTGTAAAACGTCGAGATTTGTAAAAATCTGTTGTTTTTTATTTTGCACGATTACAAGACTTTCTCTATACTTCGTATATACGAGAACGTAAAAATGATGTCGATAGATGGGGCACGTCCTAAGAAGACTGAATCAAGATGACATTGCAGGAATTGCGCTAAACTGGACGCCTCAAGGAAAAAGAAAGCAGGGAAGGCCAAAGGCGATGTGGAGGCGCAGGGCGGGGAAGCAGCTGGCAGAGGCAGGACTGTCATGGGGGACTGCCAGGAAGCAGAGGCAGGACTGTCATGGGGGACTGCCAGGGAGCAGCTGGCAGAGGCAGGACTGTCATGGGGGACTGTCGGGAGGCAGGTGGCAGAGGCAGTACTGTCATGGGGGACTGCCAGGGAGCAGCTGGCAGAGGCAGGACTGTCATGGGGGACTGCCAGGAAAATTGCCGTTAACAGACGAAACTGGAGGGAGCTTTCTGTGGCGGCCCCTTGTGACTTGGGCACAAAAAGAAAAAAAAAAGATAATGATGATGAGATCTAGGACTATCTCTTACACATTTTAACGACCAACGCTTTTATTATAGAAAACAATTATTCAATTATTTGAAAAGACTGTTTTTATTTTTATTTTAAAATTATTAATTTGTTATATTTAGTATGACATCACTTACCTGGGCACCGTCCCAAGAAAGCATTTCTTGTTTTAGCACAAAGCAACGGCCATCCACAATCTTAGCACCTGGCCAGTCCCCAGTTACTGCGGATATTGTTTTAAAATCGAGTGCAAAATAATGTTTATTACTTATTCATGTAAAAATATATAGTTATTCATACACTACTGTAAAACGGCGAGGTCCAATGGTAGAGCTTATGACTGCTAACCCATAGGTCTGATGCAGTGGCGTAGCAAGGTCGGGATGTCACCCGGTGCGGCATTTAATGGTGTCACCCCCCCCAGAGGCGTAGCGACCATTCCCGGCGCTTTCAATTTTCGATTTGCACCCCGCTACTCAGGACTTTCGATTTGCACCCCCCCCTCCACCCTTGTCGGGATTTGTCAAATTTACTCTTAAAAGATCTGCACCCACCGCCCACCCACCCCCTTTCACTACGCCACTGGTCTGATGTGAGGATCCCGGGCTGAATGACGTCACAGAGTCCCTGAGATCCGAACTTGAAAATTTCGAGTTGTTCTAACTTACCTGTCAAAGTGAGGCATGCGCCAATAAAAACACACAGAAGCAGGTTGTTTCTTGAAGGCATTTTCAGCAGATGTTCTGTGGTAGAAAAAAAAGTGTACATCTACTCGGTTACATTAGATCAGGGGTTCCCAACCTTTTTTTACTCTAGAGCACGTTCTAAAATATCGGTAGGGTGGCGGGCACCACCTATTTTAAATCGACAAACTCTTCCAGAGGCGTAGCGACCCAAAACTTTCGATTTGTACCCCCCCCCTCAAACTTTCGATTTGCACCCCCCCCCCTCATACTTTCGATTTGCACCCCCCCCCCCCCCCCCCCTCAAACTTTTGATTTCCATCCCCTTCAACCTTTCAATAATGTTTATGAAAAAAATTCTGTCTCTGTCGAATAGTGAGAGGCGGGCACATACGAATCGTTCGGCGGGCGCCATGGCGCCCGCGGGCACGGGGTTAGGAACCCCTGCATTAGATGGTCAGTGACAAAGATAAATAAGGTATAACGGAAATTGCTTTCTTACCGAAAGACACTTGCAACGAATACCCGAATGGTCGCTTGCCCGAATGTGACAAATGAAGAATAGGCACTTACCCAGCAAACAACGCAACTGTGCATATTGCCGAGGTTATAAAAATAGATAAAGGCCACTATACGTAATCTGCACAATGAGTCTTTGGCACATACGTGAAAAGATAATATTCCAAAACATTGCACATTTTTGCACATTTGAAAAAAAAAACATGTACTAATTAAACGCAAAATATTATGTACATGATCCTAAATAATATTACATTCTAATTACATTATTAGAGTCAAATATTTGTAGTAAGTAAGCATACGACTAAAATGCAATCTGGTCTTTGTCGCTAAATTAAAGGAACTTTTATTTCACATTATAGAATCTCTTAGATGTACCTTTATCATACATTTATGAGAGGGGATAGCCGCCCTCCATTCCAAAAAGAAAAACAACAAAAAATTTGCTAGAGTAGCCTCTGATATTTATCCTAACATGTATGGATCTACATCCGTTTTCTGTCTATCATACCTTTTCTTGTAACTACATTGCTATTAATATACAACTCTTCAAACTCCACAACATTCATATGGGAGCTAGACATCCCCCATATCATGCTGCTAAAACATAAATTACATCAAAATAAATACATACAAACGTAGGGCATGGTAAACATTGTTTTCTTTAACTTTAGTTACACAAGAGAAGAGTTTTTCTATCACCCCCATCTGGCCAAACTAATTTTAATATTCCATTTTTGTAAACCACCGTGTCATAAAAACCTAATAAAGAAAACAAGCTGACGTGTGTGGTACAATGCGCTTTTGATTGTGCTTAAAATTTATGTGGACATTGTAGAAATGACAGCTTCAACAATTGTTCAGAAATATGTCACTATCGCGAGTGTCGTGTCTTGTAACATGTGTTGAGCTATTCAGTTCCCTTGCAAGCAACATGTATTAAAAAAATAATTTTTGGACTAGAACTGTTTGTACGAATAATATAAGCAACTTCCTTCTGTGGTATTTTAATTTAACTATGATAGTCATTTACACAATAAGTAAATTTTCATCATGCAGTTGCTCATAAAATAAACCCGCCTCGTTACCAAAAGTTTGATTTTATATTCATTGATTTTTGTTTTCAAAAATTGTGGTTTTATATGTAACAATACGGAGACAATCCTCTGCGTAGTTTTACGTACACCTTACCGTAAGTTTCATTCTCCAAATGAGTTTTAAAAAGTATCAACAAGCCTTTATATATAAGATGTGGCTCACCTGCTCTGTCTTCTCAGCACAGAATTTGATGAGAAAGTGTGGTCAGACTCGAGCAAAGCCAAAATCAGTGTTTTAAAAGATAAAACCTTGTTGTCTTTGACTTGGAAGAGGTGAAGTAGAGTTCGGCAGTGAAGTAAATTCACCCTTGACCTCAGCATACGAAGGCATAGTGTGGTCAGACCATGCTCTTCCGAAAAATGTGTTGTTAAAAGAGATGTTGAGACTTTTTGAATGTGGGGGTCTGGCTTTTTATGACGATGTGTGACAGTGGGATGGGATGGGGAAAGAAAATTCTTCAAACAGACATAACATTATGGATGACCCTGAAATACACGGTTATCCAAGGATAACGAGTAGTCTAGTTCAAATCTAAAAACAAATCATACCTCAGCTAACATATTACTCTCTTTTAAAAGAATCGATTTCTTGTGTCTCGAACCCGTACCACCCACTAGTAACAATTACACCCAAATCTCGGACAGCTGGGCATATACAATAGGGTGAAAAAAGGTTGGGTAATTTTAATTAAAGTCAGAGTATAATAAAGTACGGGAATATTATTTAAAATAGTAGTATAATTATATCCTAGCTTAGCGAATTCCATTACAAAATATACAAAGATTTATAAACAATTATAAGGCCTGAATTAGTTTATTATAGAAACTTATTATTCTATTCTAGAACAAAGAATCTAGATAGATCTAGATTCTTGAGACAATCACAACCTGCCATGGCAGATGGTCTGATATGAGTGGAGCAGTCAGCCGCTAACTTGTCAGACCAAAACTGAACACAACAAACGAGAACAAAAGTGTTAAGCAAAAACTTACCAGAAAACGACGGTCTTATACCAGCCTTCCAACACCCAAATATTCAACAGGACGGCCTTTACAGTTTACATCAAATAACAGGCCAGTCAAAATACTGCCCTGTGATGTCGTCGAATACATTAAAAAGCATAGGCGTCCCCGAAAATGGAATTCGTTATTTTAAAGAAAGGCATACACTAATTTCAAAGCCAAAAAAGATCTGTTATATGAAAGAAGCATGCTGTAAAAATTAATAAATATATTATTAGTTTTTAATTATGTTCAAACTTAATTGTTTATGTAAGTTATCTCTCCGAAAGCGAGGGCGCCTGTTTACTTGCTGGGCGTCCAACAAATTATTTTTAAAAAAGTTTATATTTAATCCATTGTACGATTCTCAAGAGACACACCCTTCCCCCTCCACTGAACAAACAAATCCTCCCCCCGGAGCATAGTATCTAAAAAAGATCAAGGTCCCTAAAATATAATAGTATGAACCAGTGTTTCTTCCAGACTTTTTTCTCTGGGGGAGGGGGGCAGACAACATTTTCCGGTGAAGGAGGGGGGGGGGTGAAAACAGGTAAAAGTATGTTTTTTCTATGTAAATTCAGTTTTGTTCGGGGAGGTTTTAGACGATGAGATGCCTGGAAGAAACTCCGGAGCATAATGTCTAAAAACGAACAAGGTCCCTAAAATAGAATAGTGTGAATACGCCACTGTAGGCCTTGGTTAGGATTTTACGAGACATTAATTCGCCGCTTACGTGACAAGAGATAAGCCTCTTTCACAAAAACACTAAACAAAAACTAAGCAGTTTCTTAAACAAACGCCAACGTATATGACACAATTGATTGATGTTCTGGACATTTCCATAAAAGTTTTACATAACACCGTCCGAATACACGTACACATCCCGACGAGTTCCGCTGCACCTGCACCTGCATCTGCACCTGCACCTGCACCTACACCTACACATACACCTACACCTACACCTACACCTACACCTACACCTACACATACACATACACCTACACCTACACCTACACCTACACCTAAACCTACACCTACACCTACACCTGCACCTACACCTGCACCTACACCTACACCTACACCTACACCTACACCTACACCTACACCTACACCTACACCTACACCTACACCTACCCTACACCTACACCTACACCTACACCTACACCTACACCTACACCTACACCTACACCTACACCTACACCTACACCTACACCTACACCTACACCTACACCTTCTCCTACACCTACACCTACACCTACACCTACACCTACACCTACACCGACACCTACACCTACACCTACACCTACACCTACACCTACACCTACACCTACACCTACACCTACACCTACACCTACACCTACACCTACACCTACACTTACACCTACACCTACACCTACACCTGCACCTGCACCTGCACCTACACCCAAACCCAGACCCAGACCTAGGTCTCTTCTTAAGTTAGTAGTTAATTTTTAATAGAACATCATTTCTGATGGTTTTAGGTCAACGAATTAGCATGCATTTATAAATGAATAGATGTTCTTCTTATTTATAACTTCATAGAGTAAAATAGGTTTTACTAGTATGTTGAAGATCCGAATTTTTATTCCAAGGGTTAAATCTCTATAACACGTAATTTTTTTTAGCTCGTTGAAGACTGCTCTTGCCTTGCCCGTCCTTATTTTTATGTCTGCTTCGGCCCCATCCAGCTTATCAACAATACTTTCAAGGTAGGTGAATCTATCTACTTCTTCTAGGGCTTTTTCTTCCACTGTTATAGGGGTGCTACTTTACTTTTCCCTCTATGGATGTTCTGGCCCAGGCATGTAGAAAAATTAGCAACACTGTTGGTTTTATCTTGCATTTGCTGTTGTGTGTGAGAAAGAAGGGCCAGGTCGTCAGCAAAGTCCAGGTCATCCAGCTGGCTCCACAGTGTCCACTTTATACCATTTCGCGTTTTCTCTGTTGACATCTTCAAAATCCTATCTATGGTCAGCAGGAACAGGAATGATGAAAGTAGGCAAATCTACATTACTCCGGTCCATACTGTAAGGCCTCCGAAGTCTGTTGGCCATGCACTACTCTACATTTCAGACCTTCATATGAAGACATAATAATGTTGACTATTTTCTTTGGCACCCCGTAGAAAGTATTTACATTGATATAAAATTTATAAAAGTATAGCTAATAGTCTGGACATTTATTTGTAAATCAAACGTTTTTGACTTCTCATCTGCTCGTCTGGCGCCCCGACGATAGTGTGACAAGGAGCGCTCTTGGCTAATGCCGCCCCTGAAAGCTATATAAACCATTATCTGTTTTTACACAATTTGTACTTATAACTACACTGCTACTTCCATGTAACTCTTCAAACTGCACTTCATTAGCATGTCAGTTAAACAAATTCCCTTAACAAATGTTGATAAATTAAAACAAAAATTATCACAACAAATAAAATGTATACACACACATGGCGTGGAGAATATTGTTTGCTCAACCTTGAGACATGATTTTGTTTTCATCCCAGCTTGTTGTTCTAAAAATTATTTTTTTGTTGTTGTTTTTAAGCACTATTTCATAAAAACCTATCTACAAAAGAAAGCAGATATGTGGTACAATGCGCGTTCGTTTTCTGCAACATCTGTTCATTTCTCTAGAGAAAGTGTCGATTATAAGGCAACATCTCTTCATGTATTCTAACGGAGTGTCGAGTATGAAAACATCTGTTTATTGATTCTCACGTGAGCACCGAGTCTTCAAACATCTTTTCATTTATTCTCACGGGTGTGTCGATAGTTGATACTTGTATTAAATTTTAATCTCCCATTCAACAAACACGTGTTGCAAAAATATTTCGCTTAACGCTTCTTAAATGAAACGATTCGATATTTTTTCAGTTATGATGAAATAACTGTATCATTAAGTAACTCGGCTCATATTTAAAAGTAAAGGCCAGTTATCATGTTCACTGTTCCAGATATATCACCGAATTTAAACAGATAATAACGTTTGATGGGCTAGATAACGAATAGGACAAGAAGTCAAACCCATGTCAGTAAGACTCCTCTAGCAGATGTCTGATCCGTTCTGCAGACCTTGAGTAAATTATAAAGCCACCTATATCCAGTCGTTAAAGACACTGAATCAAGTTTAAGTAATACTAGTAACATGGCAGTGCTGCTAAAAGTCCACGGGGACTCTCCAACTCAGGGAAATCATATTTAGGACCTGTTTTACCAAAATGGACTGAGGCTTGTATCCAAAATAAGTGGAAATTTATTTTTTTAACCTTATTAATCACCACACTTTTTATACAAACAAGCGGTCTTTAGCCACCAGAAAAAAATTGAAACAGTCACTTGCTTAGTAAGAGACAACTGTGCTGTTTGTCGGTACTGCAGGACTAGTGGTAAACATGTTTATAACTAAGAATAAGAAATAAGAACGACTCTAATATTTTTGACTAAATAGTGTATTGTAGTTGGTTGTGGTAAAAAATGTTTTTAATCTAAAGTGAAATGTGCTATCAATCGTAACCACAATAAAGTATAATCTAAAAAATTAAATTGTCACACATTTTGTTAACTGAAAAGTGATTTTATCGACTTTGTCATAGCTTGAAGCAGAGATGCTAGGAATAATACTAAATCAGAGAGCTGAAACTTATATTCCTGTTGTAACATCCAATTCGAAGAGCGTTAAAAGGACAGGGTCAGCAGGTTGGTCAAGTGATTGGAACAAGCTGAAGGGGTGTAGTTTGTCCTGCCAGCAATATTATTAGACGTTTTGTGTTGGATAGTTAACACATAGTTCTTGTTGGTGTAGGCAATATAGTGTAGGTATAATATTTTAAAGTGGAAATGGAGTGATTATTACCCGTTGGGAATCCTCTATTGTATATAAAAAAAAACTTTGTTTTAGAAATTTCTTTTATAATACCTTAAATTTAAGTGGCTTTTACATTTCAATGGAAATATATTTTTAAATAAAAAAAAATATCTTGAATAAAAAAAAATTCATAACACACATAATTTTATCTTTTATTGCTTAGTCTCACTATTTAAAGTTTTAGCGTGTTGGTCAGTTTTACTTGAAAGTGTGACATAAATAAAATTAAAAGCTAAACCTAAACTGTGTAATAGAAAGTAGGTCCAATATTTATGATAACCATAGAATAACTTTACTTCCGTCTATTTTTTAACGTAATTTATTTTATATACATGGCTATCAGATGTTGACTTCAATCAGACCTTTATCTGTTAAACCTTTAGGGGTTGGACTGTGCTTGATGTCGACGGCCACTGTGGACAGTAGGAGAAATGTATTCAGCCGTAACATTATAAAAAATAAACCGGGAGTGATCTCCCCTAAACTTTCTCGGATATACTAATATCAGGACATAGACAATATTTGTAATACATTTTTAATTACTTAAACTTTTTATAATAGAATGGAATCTCGTAAAAAAAAGAATTGCACACTAAGTGAACGCCTAATAAAATGTGCATAATAGTGCCGGATATCATTAGTACTTTATAAATTACGCGCGTTTTTGAGAAATCGGAAATAGCGTCAATTAGTACTTCCGGTCAAGGGAAATTACTCAAAATTTGACAGAAGGTAGAAAACTAGATCGTTTACTAACATGTGAAATTTCATTTATCTAACTGTAATAGTACTCAAGTTATAGGCTTTTGAAAAATTCATAGTAGAAAAAGTACCACTTCCGGTTATCGGAAATCGCTCAAAAGTTGATACGGATATACGATTTTGATAAAATACTTATATATGAAATTTCATCAACCTAGCTGTAACGGTAATCAAGTAATCGTGTTTACACACAGACACACAGACACAGACACACACACACACACACAGACATACGGACAAGATTGCAAAATTATGTTTTTCCGTATTAGTGAGGTGTAGAAAAGGTCGAGATTTGTAAAAAAATCTCGATTTTTGTTTTGTTTTGCACGATTACAATACTTTCTCTTTACTTCGTATATACGAGAAAGTAAAAAAGATATTATTATTAAAAGGAAATAAATTAAATAAAAAAAAACTGTTTTACGTATTTAACATAGTTTATGAATATTACTTTAACTATATAGCTACATCTTATCTTAAACGCAATGTTTTTAAATTAATGTCTAAGATATATGAAGAGGGACTGTTCACCCTACAGTTTCTTGTTAATTAATATAGTACAACAATGGTGAAATTACGTCCAGTGCAATCGAGCTGAATATATGTTTTTAGCATTTTTAATTAAATTTTAAATTTTATTTAAATAGAAAAGAATTGCATAGAAAAAAAAAATGCGCACCAAATAATCGCAAACTATGTGTATAAAATAGTACGGGTAATTGAGTAATTTTTAAAACGTTAACAAATCACCTAGTTAAGTAACGTTTTATGTCGAAAAGGTTTTTCTTCGCTTCATGAGTTAAAGGGAAATTTTGAAATAAAAGTGGTAGAAAATATGCTCGCAAATTTCCGTCCAGGATAGGCGATAGAGAGAGAAATCTTGTTAAATGGGATCTTACGTTGTTTTTTTTAGGTATAAGAAATAGCGTGAAGTACTACTTCCGGAAACAGGAAATCACTACATAACAGAACCAGTTCTCGAGTTATATGCTTGAGAATGAGTATTTCACTTTCAAAGTAGAATTACGATATTCAATAGAATAAAACCTGCACCAGTGGTAAGTATTTGAGTGGATCCTAGATTATTACAATATCTAAGATGGTTCTAAATGAGACACATTTACCGTGAAAGTAAAGGATTTTAAATTGATGAATAATCTAGCCATGAAACTTATTGTATGTTAAAATTCATGAGTTGAAAGATTAAATAATACACACCAGTTTCTTGACCTGCGAGTTGTGGTTGGTTGTGGTACTGGTGTTGGTGTAGCACACATTGTCGTTGTAGAATCTGAGAATAAAATAAAATCGACAGATTTCAAAATTAACTGTGAAAATAATTTTCTATTTGTTTAAATTTCCTGGAAAAAGGCATTTATCTTTCATTCAGAATATTAAACTTCTTGTCTATTTTTGTTTTGGATTATTTTATATTATGAGCCGCTATCATATGCCGCTATTTAGTTGTTTTATTTTCTACTTTTCTGTAATTCATAATTTGTGAATTCGACAGTACCAATGCTGCCACTGAAAATATCTGCTTTAAAACACTATCAGTAGGTCGTTAAGGACGATACTACCCCCACCCTCCTTTCCCTAACCCCTACCCTACACCCACCCCCCGTGAAAGCAGCCTCCTCTGAGTTACCTCCCCTAAGTTTAAAATTGTTTCAAACTAAATTATTTGCCCCCAATAGCCGTCACTAAACCCGGCTCTACGACTGTAAACATTTAGCGTGAACACAGCTCACCAGACCATGTAGGGGTGGGGTGGTAGGGAGCGCGCTTACAGCTTGTTTTCTAGCGTTTCCCAGAAGAGAACTATATATATATATATATATATATATATATATATATATATATATATATATATATATATATATATATATATATATATATATATATATAGATACCAAAAACATTATCTATTGAGCAACCAGAAGGTACTTACTGGGTTCGATGCATAGGTAGTAATTACTGGAAGTACAGTCCGATGTTGTTATGTACGGATGCTCTGGTCTGATGTAAACACAAATATAGCCCATTGGGTCTCCCAGCCACCACCAGTCCTTGGTTATTTCAGTCGCTGGTTGGTTGGTCTCATCCCAGACATAGGTTCCCCTGACGGCTTTACTGTTGGCACCGATCCAAACGAAATTGTCTTCTGTGGTAGCCGCGTGACAAAAAGTTGTAAAAATTATTTAACTACTAGCCGTCCCGGCCAGGCCCTGCTCTGGCTTCTGTGAAAAACCTTTCTGTTAAAGACCATCACCTGTGTGTTTAGTAATCATCATAACCCCGGCATTGCCCACCCAAACCACAACCAACCAAAACCAAAACAACAAAACGCAAACATAACGCTAACACAATTACAAATACAAACGAAAACAAAAACCTAACAACAAACCCAACCACAACCACAAACACCAATACCAACCAATAACAACAAAAAAAAAACGAAAAAGCAAACGAAAACAAACCAAATCCAAACGCAAAACCAACCAAAACACAAATACAAACCCAAAGAAAAAAACACAAACAAAAACGAAAAAAGAAAACAAAAACGAACCAAATCAAACCGCAACCACTAACGCAAACCCAACGGAATCACCTGTTTTAGCTTAATAAACGACTAAAGTACCCCAACTTATTCATAGTCTTTTGCACTCACTTAAACGAACGCGCCTGTTTCAATTTAATGAACAGTTTTAATACTCCAAGCTTATCCGTAAAATACCTACAACATTTGCACTTGATCAATCCCCGCTAATTATGTAATTTTTTTTTTCCCAACACCAAAACAAAGTAATAAAAAGTAAATTCTTTTCCACTAATGCAATGGTTTTATAGAGGGAAGTAATTGTGTTTTCCTAATTTATCAAAGGGAAGTTAGTGCTATAGGACTAAATAAAGACATAATTTGAATTTTTGTAAAAGATGATATTTTTCTAAAACTTGTGTTTAATGAACATGCCGAAAATTATTACTTTCAGTTTGATAAATGAAAATTATTTCCCAACACTTTCAATAGTAATTTTTAAACTCATAAATTTAGACAAACGCCCACGATAATATTCTAACACTTTAATCAATCGAAGTATGTCAACGACATACAGAACTGAGCTTTATATATTAGACAAAGTAAATTTCTTGTAACTGTATGTTCACTTATTTTTACAAAAGTAACACGAAAAAAGTTAGTAAAAATTTTCACTGTAGAAATTTAGTCCTTGAAATCTCGTTTCTTAGGTATGTTATTGTTTTAACTATTTTGTCTCAATAGGTTTGGTTGAGATATTTTCGGCGGCTATTTTCGATAATAGGAGTTGAGATTATTAGTCCAATATACGAATATACATATATACAAATACATAGACATGTCTATGCTTATACACGTAGACCTATATACATAAAAATACTAACATACATCCACTTACACTAACACATATGCGTAAACATAACTTTACGTATAAAAACACCAGCAAGTACACATATGGGGTCATCCTTAAATGACGTCACGCTTTTTTTTGACGATTTTTACCTCCCCCCATCCCATCCGTCACACATCGTCACAAAAAGCCAAACCCTCACCTAAAATAAAGTCACACCTCAGCTACAACCACCCACCCCCCCCCTCAAAGTTGCAGTTGAATTTTTCTTAAAACATAGATATTTTTTTCCAAAATCTTGTCTGAACTCTCTCAACATAGAGTATTTTAATCAATCCCTATTACAATTTGTTAAAATAGTTTTCTATAACGCGAAATAAACGCTAAAATTCGTTTTCTAACATTACTTTTTGTTAATGCAAAAATCTGACGTCCTACCATCTGAACCCCCACTCCTTCCCCTGCCCCTCAGCACACACCGTCACAAAATTACGGACCCCCCTCCCTCCCCCTACGAGTGTGACGTCATGTATTGAAGACCCCTATAGCTATGTACATATTTCTGTACATGTACTAATAATCAAAACAATTTTCTCCTCTCTCGACTGCTTGTATGTCAAACATCTCAATTGTTATTTGTAGGTGCCACTTTATATACCTAGATACATACATATACATATAGTCGTAAACTGTTGAAGTAATCATTGGCAAGCTGCTCTTCAAGAGAACTTTACTAGTCTAATAAACTTCAGACTTACTGCTCATATTGAACGCGGCTACTAAGTCGTTTAAAACTTGGAGTGAGGCTAAAGTTGCAAGTTTTCCTCCTATGTCCGCACATGCTGTCTGTAAGACGTCAAAGAAGTTTCAGGAAAGAAAAATATGTTTTGAGCGAGTTAGACCACGAATATATTAAATATACTAGATCTAATAATGTTCTTAGCGTCCTACTGTTTATATAAGTAAAAAAAATATGGCCTCTGGTCAGTTAAAAATCTGTTCCGTATTTTTTCCGAGGGTAGCACAATTTTTTTCCTGACCTCCTGGGGCCGATTTACATCTCCAAGGGTTTTCAAAGGGTTCCTACGTGGGAAATGTTTTTCGATATATAGCTCATATAAGGAGAATTACACTTGTGGTCACTTTTAGCCCTCGCCGCGCGAGCAGAGGCTGACCAATAGCTTATACATAAGGCCGATTCATTTACCCAGGTCTGTGCAAAAAATGGGCTAGATGTACAGAGCTAAAGGTCCAAAAACAAAGTTTTGAAAATATTCATCGTTTTTCACAAAATTAATAATGTTTATATAGGGAAAATTCGGACCGGTCAGTTTTAAAGCCGTTCCGTAATTTTCCCGAATACATAATGCCAAATTTGAAGCGCCTGCAGCGCTGGGAAGTGCCATATCGGGCACCCGACACCTTTTGCATATCATACTCCGCTATTTAGTTGTTTTATTTTCTACTTTTCAGTAATTCATAACTTGTGAATTCGACAGTACCAATGCTGCCACTGAATATATTTGCTTTGAAACACTGTCAGTAGCTCGTTAAGGACGATAACCCCCCCCCCTTCCTTTCCCCAACCCCCTACCCCCCCCCAGTGAAAGCAGCCTCCTCTTAGTTACCTCCCCTAAGTTTAAAATTGTTTCAAACTAAAATAGCCGTCACTAAACCCGGCTCTACGATTGTAAACATTTAGCGTGAACGACAGCTCACAAGACCATGTAGGGGTGGGGGCGGTAGGGAGCGCGCTTACAGCTTGTTTTCTAGAGTCTCCAAGAGGAGAATTATTATAATTATTATATTGTGAGAATTAAACGAACCGTTAGACCATGAGCAGTGGTTCTCAACCTGGGTTTCTTCAAACCCCAGGATTCGGTGAGTTAGTCTCAGAGGTTCGGTGAAGTTCAACACACAGACTTGACTCATATGTTTCAGGATACGATTTTACATTCTAAATAGTCGCAATATATATGAGGTAAATTTATATTACGTATCTCGTAATACAAGGTTTGGTCGCTCAAAATATCTCTTACACATTTTAACGATCAACTTTTTCATTATGGAAAACACGTTTTTATTGTTTCAATGATTTGAAAAGATTATTTTTACTTTACAAAACTTATTACTGTGTTGTGTTTAGTATGACATCACTTACCTGGGCACCGTCCCAAGAAAGCATTTCTTGTTTTAGCACAAAGCAACGTCCATCCACAATCTTAGCACCTGGCCAGTCCCCGGTTACTGCAGATATTGTTTTAAATTCGAGTGCAGAATAATGTTTATTAATTATTCAGGTTAAAATATATAATTATTCATATACTACTGTAAAACGGCGAGGTCCAATGGTAGAGCTTATGACTGCTAACCCATAGGTCTGATGTGAGGATCCCGGGCTGAAGGACGTCACATAGTCCCTGAGATCCGAACTTGAAAATTTCGAGTTGTAGGCCTACTAACTCTATGAGGGATCTTCAATAAAACATGGAATGAAGAAATAGTCCCAGATTCATGGAAACCGGGAATCATCATCAAATGACCCAAAAAAGCGACCTTAATGATTGTGAGAACTGGAGAGGCATTAACCTACTGTTAGTACCAGGAAAAATTTTCTGCAGAGTCTTATTACAAAGAATGAGGAAAGGAATTGATGGAATCCTTCGTGAAGAACAAGCTGGCTTCAGGGCCAACAGGTCACTTAACGACCAAGTATTTGTCTAGCGCACTATAGTGGAACAGTCCCTGGAGTGGAATTCGTCTCTCTACATCAACTACATAGATTTCGAGAAAGGATTCGATAGCATCCACCATCCATCACTATGGAAGATACTAGAGCTATATGGCTTTCCAGGAAAAGGCATAAACATACTTAAGGACATGTACTATGACAATCAATGCTATTGGCGACATGAAAACCAGCAAAGTGAATGGTGCAAGGTAAAAACAGGAGTCAGACAGGGCTGTGTCATCTCACCTGTCATCTTTTTGGTGGTAATAGACTGGATTATGAGAAGAGCCACTGAGGATGAACCAAGAAGAATTGTTTGGGAGCTTAACAACCACATGGAGGACTGTGACTCAGCTGATCACTTGGCTTTACTCTCACATGCCCAAAATTGACATCCAAGCAAAAACCACAAAAAATAGAGCAAATTGCTAAAAGCGGTGGGCTAAAGATAAACTCCGGGGAAACCAAGCTAATGAAAGTAAAAGCCAAAAGTGCTCTCAAGACCTTTGCGAATGGAGCAGAGCTAGAAGAGGTCGAAAACTTTAAGTACCTCGGCAGCAAATGGCAGCATGGAGAAAGAAATAGCCATCATAATAGCAATGGCAGCACAGGATTTCAACAGACTCGCTAAGATCTGGAAATCATCCTCACCTCAGCAGAGAACTACAATAAGGATCTACAAGTCTAATGTACGTTCTGTACTCCTCTATGCTGCAGAGTCATGGAAACTAAACAAGAAAGGAGAGAGCCGACTCAGAGGCTTTGAAAGAAGATCCCTTCAACGTATCCTCAGAATAAAGTGGGACGACAAAGTCCCGAACAAGGAAATACGACGAAGGACAGGTTTAAACGACATAGTTTCAGAAGTTTGAATGAGGAGATGGAGATATGCATGAGCAAAAGAAGACTCCCCAACATGGCGCACAAGTGGACTCCGCCTGGAAAGCGAAAGATAGGAAGACCACTCGGAACATGGAGGAGAGAGATGGAAGAAGAAGTGCAGGCTACTGGCAAGACCTGGCATGAACTAAAGTGGCTCGCCCAAGACAGAGTGGAATGGCGGAGATTTGTTGCTGCCCTATACTCCACAGGGAGTGATGAGGATTAAGTAAGTAAAGTACTATCTTACCTGTTAAAATGAGGCAGGTGCCAATAAAAACACATAGAAGCAAGTTGTTTCTTGTAGGCATTTTCAGCAG